AAAAAGCTCACTAATCAAGACCTAAGATCTTTGATCTGAATTCCAGATAACATTTTTTCTTTTAGTCTGCGGTATCATTTTTTCGACATTTTTTAATCTTCTGGTAGAATTGTTCGGTGAGGTTATCAAGTTTTTATTTCGTTTCCAACAATTTTCTCCCTGATACCGCAACATGTACTCATCCAATCATCCTTTTCTGTAATTTTAAAATTTTAAAATCCTAAATGTCGATGTTTTCCGATTCTAAAAACGGAAACAAAACGTAAATATGTTGTTAGTATAATTTATAAGCTAGCATCAGTCATATCCATTTTCAACTTATATACTCTTAATTCTATCATTACAAAAGCAAATAGATTATGGTAAATAACGAAAAGATTGAAAGGATTACTTTATGATTGGAATTACGAACAAATAAGAAAAAAAAAAAAAAAGGATTGATCAGAAAGAAGCCTTGAATATGGCACAAAAAGCTTCTTGAAATTCAATATGTAAGTTCCGCTTTTTTTTTTTGGATTGCATTTTGGATTTAGTTATATTTATTATTAGTGATATCATTTTTAATTTACAAAATATACTTTGTCAATGTAAATAACAATTTTGAGAAAAAAAAATTCCTCACTTTGGAATAAAACAAACATTTCGAGAAAAAATTGAAATGAACTTTAATGCTCATGTAGAAAGTTTGCGAACTTTTTTTTTTAAATCATATATTGATGAATGATAGATTTTCTTTTTTTTTTAATCATATATTGATAAATGATAGAACGTTCATTTTACCCATTCAAATTAACCACAATGCGGTAGGGAAATATTTAGAAGTTCTAAGATTTCGCGGTCATTTATTAGTAGCATATTTTATTTGCAACATAACTGGTAAATTCCGTATTGGTAGTTCAACTGATAGTTCTTGTAAGGAATTCATCGAAGGAATTTTACATTATTTAATCATTCAGATATTTTGTATATGCACTTTTTTTTGAATTCATCAAATTATTGATAATTGTTTAAAAATGATTATTTTTTTTAATAAAAAAAGGTTTTTCTTTCCAAAATTAAAATTAAAGTTTAAAATTTTGAAATAGAAATTGAAAATTAGTAGAGTATAAAATAACAAACATTACTCTCCGCGAAAAAAAAATGTAAAAAGCAAATATTTTTGTGTCAATTTTTTCCCGTTCTTTCTTTTTTTTTTGTTTGAAAAAATTTTTTTTCACAATCCACAAATAATACTTCGAATTGTAATCAATTGATTATTTGTAAAGTAAACCAATTAAATCAATATCAAGCATTTTTAAAAGAGTTTTTTTTTTTGAAAACTTTTTTTTTTTTAGTAAAATTCTTTTCGGAACTAAAAATTATAGTTTAAATTAGAAATTGAAAGTTACTAAACTAAACCAATATAGAATAATATTTTCTTTAAAAATAAAAAAAAATGGTTTTCTTTTTTTTGGAAATTCTTTTTTTTTCTTTCAAATCATCAGGTAAAAGGAGAAAGATTACACTTTTTATTGGTTTGTTAGACATTTCAATTCCATTAGTAACTTTTTTTTTTAATTTTCAAACGAAAAAAAATTATTTGTTACTTTTTTTTTGAAAAAATTTTTTGCAAAAATTTTATATACCATTCTTCTCTCTTTTTTCTTTGTTTGTTTTTATTGTCTTTCTTACATACCTATTGGTTTGATAATTATTAGCAAAAAAAAAATGTATACGTAAAAATGCTATTAAATGAAATGTTCGAAAAAAAAAAAACAACCTACCATATGTTTCACTAAGAAATAATGATACCATTCATTCAAGCAAAAAAAAAAAACCAATTTTTACTCATTTAATTTCCGGCCTATTTCCGGTTTGTTTCCGACCTGCTCAAAGCGAAATAATATTTAACATGAGAGCAATTATTGTTGCTTCGTTTAAGCTTAGTATTATTATTATTATTATTATTATTATTATTATTATTATTATTATTATTATTATTATTATTATTATTATTATTATTATTATTATTATTATTATTATTATTATTATTATTATTATTATTATTATTATTATTATTATTATTATTATTATTATTATTATTATTATAG